AAAAAAAAAAAAAGCTCCTCCATGCAAACCCCCAGGGTTCCCTCTGTGCCACCCGAACCAGGGGAAAAGCAACTCACAGCCTGCGTGATGGCAAAGACCTCCCAGCCGGAGCCCTGCAGTGAGACGAGCCTGGCTGCCAGCAGCTTCTTTCCTCCTGGGGCGTCCGGCTCGCTCTTAGAGCCCTGCAGTGAGACGAGCCTGGCTGCCAGTAGCTTCTTTCCTCCGGGGGCGTCCGGCTCGCTCTTCTCCAACACTTGGTAGACGCTGACCTGGGGAAGGCAGCAAAGGGTGGTTACCACCAGTGCATCCTGCCCGAGGGGAAAGACCCCGGACATAGGTACTGGGGAAAAAAAAAGGTGGGGAGATAGGGGAGTTGTCAGCTTGGATTTGTCACAACCCACAGGTGCCTTGGCTGGTGCGTGCACAAACCAGAATGATATTTAAGAACCCGCCATTGTTAAATCATTGTGATTCTCTGTGCAACGTGGCGACATTCGGTTGTATGGATTTCACAGAGCTGGACCAGGCTCCCACTGCAGGCGAGTGACTGCAGCGTGCCAGTGGCATCCTCGGGCACAGGCTGGGGCACATCCCTGTTCCCATCCCCATCCCCACCCCCATTTCCGTCCCCATCCCCATCCCTGTCCCCGGCTCATCCCCCTCCTCACCTGGCAGAAGTGGTGCCTTTTGGGCCCGTCGGTGGCCCTCGGCCAGAGGCGGAAGAGATGCAGCTCTGCTGTCAGGATCTTCTCGTTCTTGGCCACGCTGGAGAGGACGAAGAAGAACCGCATCTTCTCGCCGTGAGCTGGAGGGAAGGACGGGTTGAGAAGTGGAGCCAAACCACGGGCGGCACCTCTGCCAGCTGCGCTTGGCCCCTTCCCGCAGCCCTGTCCCCAGTACTGCAGGGACCCCCCCCCTTACTTTTATCCAAGAAGCTGCGGACCGTGTTGCCCTCCAGGATGTCGGGGTTCTTGGTGACACCATCCGCATTGGCGACGGTGTTGAATAGATCCACCATGTACTGGGGCGGCTGCTTGAAGTGAGCCGGGGGGGGTGGGGGGTCTTCCATGCCAAAGACTTCCAGGAGCCTCTTCAGTGCCTCAGCCCGCCTGCTCGCCGCACCAGCTGGACTCGGGCACGCTGGCTTGGCCAGGGCCAGCAGCAGCAGCACGGTCCCCAGCATGGCTCTGCTGTCCCTGCCCCAGCTCAACTCCCCCCTGCCTCCCCGACACTGCATTTACAACTCTGCTGTCCCTGCCCCAGCTCGACTCCCCCCTGCCTCCCCGTCGCTGCATTTATAACTCGCTGGAAAGATGGATTGGAGTCAAATATGCACAAGAGCAATCAGGAGGGTAAAGAGAGCTAATTGCCATGCTAACAAGGTGCAAAGCTGGGCTCCTAGGCGCCCTGCGCCAATTAGCCCCAGTACACAAGCAGGAGGGGAGGACGGCTCACCCCAGCACTCCCTGGGGCTGGCAGGGGACACGGGGGTCTGGGGCTGCGCAGCTCCTCGGCAAGGCCCTAGCTGGGCTGCGTTTGCTCTCTGTAGGAGACTAACTGGTTTTTAATGATGGCACTAATAGGACAAACAGGAGGACCTTTGTGTGGAGGAATGCACCCCTCCAAGAGCGGAGCGGGCTGGATGAGCCATCCCATCTCTGCCCTGCTGCAGCAGCTTGTGCTGCCCTGCGCCGCAGCCACTGCCAGGAGCGAGGAGCATCGGGGGGCTCGGTGTCACACCGGTGTCCCCATCCCATGTCCCTATCAAGCGCGCAGGGTGGGGTGCCCAGGTACCCTTCACGCAGCAGGGGCAGCCCAGGCTGCGTGTCCCCTATGCTCCCCACTGCAACGCCCGCGCAAAGGAGCCCGGCGAGCCGAGAGCACGGTGCAAAGTGGGTTTCCAGTGGAGAACCGGCAGCCCTGGGGGCTGCAGCTTCCTTCCACAGCACTGCCAGGCCCTGGGCTGCGGCAGTAACTCAGCAACAGGAGGAACCAAACCAAAATTAAGCTTTTTTTTTTTAAAAAAAAAAGCCAATTGGCTTCCTGGGGATTAAAAGGCATTTGCTGCTACTTCCTGAATGCTTGATATTAATGAAATATCACGAGAACCCTATGGACTCCAGATGAGGGGATAAAAGCCAATTCTTTTGCTCTTATTCCCCAAGCACAGAGAAACCGGGTTGGTGAAGGTGGATGTGTTGACACGGTACACTCGGACTCTTTACATTTGCTGTTTGTTTTAATGCCATATGACTGAAAGGAAGAAAATAGCATTATACAATACACATCAGAGCAGGATTAGAAAAGCCTGTTAGGTCTTACAGGGAACAGGGAAACCCCCTGTGAATGAGGCCCACCGGTACGGGCTCTGCGAGAGGCTTGGCCCGGGGAGGGGAAGGTGCAGGAGTGGAAGGTGCAGGAGTGGAGCCAGCACCATCCATCTGTCCATCTGCCGGCAGGGACCGAGCGGCGCTCCCCGGCCCCGCAGGCACCCGGCTGAAGCACTTCCAGGCCAACGTGACAGGAGACAAGCTGAAGGCTACTTGCCCAGTTGGTGTCTATAATTTATTCTAACCCAATGCTTGGTGGGTGAAAGGGCTGTTAATTACCCAGAACAGGCAGGGAGGCAATGACAGGCTTGAGTTAATTGATAGAGGAAACTATTCGTATCCTCTGGATCCTTTCCTTCCTCTTCCCAGCTCACCAGCAGCAGTGGCATGTCCTGCAGGATAACTGGGGCTGCCCGCAGAGGGGACATCCCTGCCCCAACATGCCTACCTACCTGTTTCCCTCTCCTCTCCGACTCCTGCTCCACGTTTTGTAAATGGGAGCAGCCGGGTCCGTGCAACCCCCAGCCCGTGCCAGACGGCCGCATCCCTCTGCACGCCGCATCCTCCTGGGATGCTTGGGCAGATGGAGGGGCCACGGAGCTGCACAGTGGAGCCCCAAGGAGCCGCGAATTGCCCATGATGTTTATTTTACAAGCTGCAAAACATTTTGTAGAGGGTTCATTTATACAGGCGCTGTTTAAAATAGCTTTTATTCAAAAAATAGCCTTCTCTCATTTACATATACTACAGACAGTCTGGCGGGGCTCTTGCAGGAGCCCCACCTGCAGCTCCCCAGCTCCGCTACCCCCTGCACTTGCACTGCCGGATGGCAACAACTGTGCGAACACGGTCTCGGCGGCTCCTGAACGTGTGTATGTCGTACCGGTGAGGGGCGCAGCGGTTGGAGGCAGCTTCTGCCCAAACCAGACATTTCTCTCCGCCTTGTGACACCCTGCAGTTAGAGACAAACCCAGTACATCCCCTGGCCCCCCACACCCCGGGGCCCTGCGTTTCATCACCTGGAAAAAGGGCAGATGCCCCGGACCAGGGTGGGGGAGAAGGGAGGCGGCTTTCTTCCGGCGGCATCTATTCCTTACTCCTGGTGTAACTCGGGGAACTGTCTCCTCCCTCTCTGCCTGTGCAAAGCAGGGGTTATTTCTTTCTTTGTGGTTTGATTTGCTTCCCTTTGCATTCACCACATTTTTGTATCTGCAAGCAACACAAAGCGCTGCCCCCCAGCCTGAAACAACTGTCTGGACCCACCCTGCCCCAGAGCATCCCCCTCCTCCTCCTCCCGCCCCACGGCATTACCAGCAGGCGGTGGGGGCAGGAATGGCACATCCCAGGCTGAAGAAAGCCACTGTCAGGACCCATCTGTGTCTGCTATCATGGGGGACCACAAGCTCTATTAACCAGCTGCCCAACGGGCCAAATTCAGTACCATCGTCGGCAGGTTGTTCTTTACCCCTTGAAGCAACGGAGCAGTGTGCTGCTGTAGCACCACTGCATACGCTGCTCTGCTTCAGCTTTGTCCCTACGTGGTTAGACACAGCCCAGAGGGTGAGCTGTGGGTGCTACCCAAAATCCACTCCTGTGTTACCCTCCCAGGTCCTGCCCCGGGAACAGCAGATGCATTGACTGAGAGGAATGGGAACAGCTCAAACCTGCCTCCGAACGTGTGCGGATGTGCCAGGGAACGAGAACGGCCAGATCCTGGCAGCTGTGCTTACCTAAGCAAGCAGGGATCCCCCGAGGAGCAGCTGCCCAAGCACCTTCCCACATCAATTTCCTGCAAAGATTTGCAAAACAAAGGCATGAAATTCCCCTGCAGCACCTCACTGGGGACACCCCAGGGGACCGGCCGGGGTCACTGCACCCTCCGTCCGCCCTCCATCCTCAGGCTGAACATACACCCCTGAGAAAGGGCAGCAGCGAGGCAAAGCTTGTAAGGAGAACTATTTTGGGGGCACACCAGTGTTTTTTTGAGTCAGAGGTCCCTGGGCACAACGGTATGTTGAAGTAGAGTCTCCACTGAACTGAGCTTAAGACATACTTAACGATTAAATAATTTTTAAAATAAATATCTCACTGCTCCCTTAATTATTTTTTAAAGAAATCCTCTCCCCAAAGAAAAGGCCATTTGTTACTTTATGGCACTGATACATACACAAATTAGTGGCAGTAAAACACATTTTATAGCATAAATGTGAGATTTTTACCACTATAGTTTGTTGCCAGGGCGTGCTTAGCTCTACCAGGGTGAAGCTGCCCATGTCAGAGCATCCACCTGGATGTTCAAACCCCACGTGTGGGCCCAGCGGCAAGCTGAGCCCACCAGAGAGGAGGCCAAGCCACAGGAAACCAACCTTGAGCCGTTCCTCCCTGTGTCCCGCAGAGGTGTGCACAATTTCATAGTAATATTCCACCTGGGAAACGCGATAGCATTTTTCCTTCATTTCGCAGTTCTCCAGCGTCCAAACCACCTCCCCACCTTGTGGGCTTTTGACTAGAGCAGTGTTGAACTTTGTGGGCACGCAGAAAAGTCCATCTGCAAGGAAACAAGAAGGAAACTTAATCTGGGGTTGCATCCGAGGCCACTATGGCTGCAGCACCTTCACCACGGGTCTGCCGTGCGGCACAGACGCAGCGTCAGGCTCCAGCGTCCAGCACCTGGCGTGAAAAGTGCTGTTTTCTGTGTGAGGGTCCCCAGTTCGAGAGTTTGGGGCTCATTCCTTCACCAGCTCAGAGCCTCAGCGATAGGTTTTGTTCCTCCATCTCATTTTCAGACCACAGGGCAAAGGGAGGTTATTCTGGGTGCAAATTGTGAATCCTGCACCTGACCCTGTGAAAGCCCCATCTCTGGGGAGACAGCCTGAGCTATTACACATTATCTTTGAGAAAAAAGGTCTTTGAACATAAAATATTCATGGCAGCGCTTTTTCAGAGACATGCTCTCACACCAGGGAGCTGGGGAACATTATTTAACATTTACTCATTCAGCATTTCTCTCTGGATTTGCCAGGGGGCTGTGCCCTGCACGGGCTTCTCAGATGCTGGAGTCAGTGTCACCAGCTCTCCCAGAGATATATTCCACCGGGCACCTCCAAAGGATTTGCTTTGGGCCGGGCTCTCAGCTCTCCATGCAAGCAGACAAGCTGGCCGGGGCTGAGGTGATGGAGGCAGCATCTCCCCACGTCAGCACAAGTTATTACATCTGCCCTACCCGCGTCGTGGGACAGAGGAAGGCTGGAACAAGAGGGGAGGAAAGGGGAGACAGGCAATGGCCCCGGCTCTGGGGGCACAGGACCAAGTCCTGCTTTGCCTTTTCTTTCCCTATTCAAGCTTTAACTCAATGAACAATCCCCAGGGCAAAAAAAAGTTATGTTTGGATTTGACATACCTAGTCTGATTGTTAAGGAAGCCATGCAGAGAGCAGGGCGAAGGGGGGCTTTGGGTGGACATGCCGAAAGCCCACGTCTTCGCTGCCATGTCACCTCCAGGCCAGGACATGCTGCCTCCGAGGCAGGTCCCGGTTGGCCCAGGCAGGGGCTCGGCAGCTCGAGAAGAGAGACAGAGGCTCCTCCAGCAATAACTCATGTCCAGTTGGAAGGAAACAGACACAGACTGTCCTGCCTGGCTCAGTTTGAATGTATGTTCTGCATAGAAAGAGACAGTTTATCTGCTAAACCTCCCAGCTTTTCTCTCCCTCACCAAGTAAATTAGGATTAAAATCTCCACTTCATGAGTTAGAGGAGGGGACGAAAGGTGACTAAGCTGATGGCTAAGTCAGTCTTGGGTTTTGGCTCTAAACAGGACCTAGTCCCAGCCCTTGGGTGCAGGTCCTTCAGGGTTT